CGCGCGCGCGCACACACACACACACACACACCCAGCCACCTGTCTCAGGCGGAGGAAAAGCAGTCTCCAGGAAGCAGGAGGAAAATCTTGCCAAGGGCCCCCGTGGCTGCTCTCCCACAGCGCAGCCCCTGAGGGAAGCAAGGGAAAGAATCATTGCACCTGGGTTTGGTTTCCTTCTTAAGCCTAACTCTTCCCTTGGACAGCCAGAGGTGCGGTTTGGGTCCCTCAGAGCAACTGCCCCTCTCACTGCCCTCCCCAGGCCGTCCCAGGCTGCATCCTCGCGGTCCTGTCTGCCTCCCACCGCGCTGTGAGGTCCGAAGGCCCAGTGACCTGCCTTCGGGGTCGCTGTGCCAGGGCAGAGCCGCTCGAGGTAGACCTTTTCCTGGTCGAGGGGCTCCCCTGGCGCCATTACTCAGACTCTGATGAACAGCCTGTCCCGGCTCCTCTCACCCCCAGAGCAGGGACAGTGACTTCCCCACCCTGCACCTGCCCTTGGCAGAGGCCCAGGACAAGGAAAGGCTGCACACAGAGCGGGGGAATCGCTCACCTGGGAGGAAAGCACGCTCAGCCACCTGTAGGGTGGGCAGCACTTTACTCCAGACCCTGCTGTGCTGTCCATTAGAGAAACTAAAATGTGCCGCTCTGGTTTACGTTTTCTCCAGGAACAAACACGTTTCAGACATCTTCACTTAGGACATGTCTAGGAGCGCTCATTTGTGTTCATGATGGGTATTTCCCTTCCATCATTTCCTTCCTTTCTGGCTTTCCTTGCTCTCTAAATTCCTTCCTTCCTTCTGTTCTTTCTTCTTTAGAAAATTCCCTCTAGATAGGCACTGAGGTTGTTTCCAATCACAAAAAAACAAATGTTGCACAGAACTTATTTGCACATAGATTATGAGTTCTGTGAGTTTTTCTGGAGGTTAAATTGCTATGGAAAAATGTATATGCACTACAGATTTTAACGAAAACTACCAGATTTGCCTCCAATTTATTCCAATTAAAACTTTCCAACAATGCATAAAGGTGCCAGTTTCCCCATACCCTAAAGACTTTTGGTATGAACTTTCTAAAACTTTCTCAGTATGTGTGAAAATGGCTCTTTGTCCTAATATGCGTGACTTCATCTATTACTGTTTCAGCCTGTTTGGCCTGTTGTCTTTACCACCAGATTTTGCTCTTCAGGAGGACGTCTACTGCCAAAGCACCGGGACACTCAGGGTCCGGAGTGGCCTGGCTTTCTGCTTCCTAGACAGCAAATTCTCTGGGCGCTTATATGGCTGAAGGGGTGTGGACCTCTGGGGACTTTTATAAAACACCAGTCCCATTCGACAGGGCTCCATCTGGCTGTGACCTAAGCACCTCCCAGAGGCCCCACCCCACACGAATATCACATGGAGATTAGGGTCCTCCTCAGCATATTGGGGAAAACAAGGAACTTAGAGCCACTGGAAAACGTTCAAATCCCACTAATTTTTAAATGGCAATTCCTGTCTCTTCTTGTGACTCACTGTCTTTCTCCATTGTTTGTCTCACTGCTAATCTTTTTATTTGTAGTTCTTGGTGTATGGTGGGTAGCTATGTCTCCACCCTGTGTGTCAGGATGCGTTTCTCCAACACATCTTCCTTCTGTGTTTAGCCCACCTAGTCCTCTTCAGGGGTCTCAAGTGGCCCTAGCATTTGTGTGTAGAGAAGGCCAGGAGATGAGCATCTGTGGAGGGACGTCACTTGGTGGTGGGAGCGCATCCCAGGCCCTAGCCCTGTCCCCTGGCACTGGCAGGTCCCTGTCATT